CCTTATTGGTCTGGTTCGGAATCTGTCATTCCGACAAATACGTATGCTACAAATATCGAATGCAGGCAATCGCAAGCTCGGAAACATTGTAACATACCATTCGACGACGGAAAGTAAGCAGCCCTTTGGCGGGATTGGTTGTCGAGGGTGCAGACCGAGAATATGGTTTGCAAAAAAAGTTTTATTTATAAAAGCGCCAAAACTCTAAACAAGTAGTTCCCCGATTCAAGAAAAAATGATAAGAAACAAAACTGTAATATAGCACGGACAAACATTAAAATAGGCCTTACAGAAATGTCATATCTGGACTTATATTAAAAAATACAGATATGGATATGTAAGGAATAGACCCCTTGCGTATAAGGGCGCCCCTAGTGCCGCGCACAGGAACTACGACCAGCCGCCATGTTTAGGTCGTCGGAGCAGACGACGCACGCCGCAGGATTGTCGCCGGCCGGCATCTCTCGCCGCGCGCCGACTTTCGCACGCTGAGCCTTGCGCCGAGCTTCGTGTCAGCGGCAGTGTTACACTACGGTAGACGATGGTTGAAACGTGCTGTGTGCCACTGTGCCGCCAGCGTGGCTACCGCGACGAGAACAGCAAAAAGGTAAGCCGTAGAAGTTTCTAAACAAACCCACGTGCGCAGGCGCGCACGCGATTTTTCACCCGCGTTTCACGCACCTGAACAGCCCGTGCGAGCTAGTTCGCTGCACCGTTGCCGGTGGCGCGGTACGCTTAAAGTCAATAATCGTTTTCAGTAATGGATCACGAACGAACAATGTGCTGTAGCGAAGGCTAGAAGCGCGAGCTCGTGCTGCCGAGGTGCGCCGTAGAACAAGAAGCTCGTGCTCTTAGATGCGGCACGTCGTAAGGTGAAACGAAAGTATACAAAAAGCTTCGCACTGATACATCACTTCGTGCGAGGAGCATGTGCAGTGCCTGTGAACGAGAGCGTTTCCCGAAGGCGTAGCGTATGATGCGGAGTCACTGCTGACGCTAGGACGCACATTCTAGAAGCCTCTGCGATTGAAAACCTTGAAGCGGAGAACGTGAACATATTTGCCGACCTGTTTTCCTCGTGGCTCGACGTGCAAATCCTTGCGGACGAGATGGTCCAACGGCTCACGCCAGCCAAGTTCAACAGGTTTTTGGTTGAAACAAGTGAAGAAAAAAAATTTCGGAAAATGATTTATACTGAACTCGTAGCACATTATTATGCTTTAGGAAGTGTAGTACAACTTAGCCAGTTGCTTCCCTCGTATTCGTAAACATGGTTTAGCAACATTTACAGCATATGTGAACTACAGGTGGCTTGAGAGTGATTGTTGGACATTTCTAATTATAGTTTTTTCTCGAACTAGGTCACATTCCACAAGTTTCCTTCTGGGAACAAACTACGGCGGAAGTGGATCCATGCTATCAGAAGAGACCCTGGTGCACACTTCAGCATTCAGCAAACAACCAAGGTGTGCTCAAGGCACTTCACGCCGGACAGCTTCGTCCCCAATGTGGCAAGCGGACGACAGTATTTGAAGGAAAATGCGGTGCCTTCTCTTTTTGAATTCACCAAGAAAGTCGTGCCTCGACCGGTTCCCAACCGACAACCCCTGCAGACCAAATTCCTCGAACCAAACAGTAGAGATGTGTTTTGCAGCGATGAAATGGCATCTCCCCCAGACCTAAATGATGTAGGAACATCAACAAGCCAAGTTCCAGGCTGGGCGGTGAACACAGATGCACCTGCAAGCATCAGTTTGACACAAGGCAAATGCAACTGTGCCTGCACAGACGAATTGACCCAGATGAAGCTGCAGCTGAAAGAAAAGGATGCAGAGCTTGTCCAGCTAAAGGATCAATGTAACATTCTTCTGAACTGCAGCAACATCCTGAGCACAACAAAAAGAGACCTTGCACGAGCAAAGGAACAAGTAGTGTGTCTAATGCGGAGGAACGAGGAGCTGAAGAATGAACACACAGCTAAAATGCAAGAGCTCGAAACAAAATTGTCCGAGGCAGACAAACGGAAGAAGACATTTTCGGCAGAAAGATTTAAAGACGACGACAGCAGCATCCAGTTCTACACTGGCCTGCAAAGCTACGGTCATTTTAAAGGATTACTGCAGTATGTAGCCTCAGAAAGTGACACTGCTGATCCGGACCACCCAAATAGGGAAGCAAGAGGTCGTCGGCACAAGCTATCTCAAGAGGACCAGCTTTTCATGACGCTTGTCAAGCTGCGACTTGGTCATTTCCACATGCACCTGGCACACATCTTCAACGTCTCTACCAGCACTGTGTCGAGGGCTTTTGGAACATGGGTTAACCTGCTCTATGTCCGGCTGTCGGAGCTGGCATGGTGGCCACCACGTGATATTGTATACTCAACCATGCCTGAGGAGTTTAAGGCACGGTATCCAACAACACGGGTGATTATTGATGCCACTGAAGTTCGGTGCGAAGTCTCCAGTTCTCTGGTTCTGCAGGCGGGAACATACTCTCCATATAAATCGACAAACACTCTCAAGGGACTAATTGGAATTTCACCGAACGGACTTGTGAGCTTTGTTTCAGAGCTCTTCACTGGGTCAGCTTCAGACAGAGAACTTGTGATCAGAAGTGGGTTTCTGGAACAAGAGTTTGCACCAGGTGACACAGTCATGGCTGACAAGGGATTTAAAATCAAAGATCTTTTGGACAAGAAAGGTATTGGATTGAACTTGCCACCGTTTCTGACGAAGCAACAGTTCAGTGTTGCAGAGGTGCGAGAAACGGCTGACATTGCTTCTTTGCGGATTCACGTAGAGAGGAGAATCCAGCGCAGTAAGACTTATCATATATTTGACAGAGTTGTTCCCCTCTCTCTTGGTCCCATAGTTAACCAGATGTGGACTATTTGCGCTCTTCTGAGCAACCTTCAACCTTCTATTTTAAAAGAAGTGGATTGAGCCAATGTATACATGTTTGTTTGTTTATTTGTACAAATCAATATTGAGTATTGAAACAGAAGCTTAAGGCTAAGCAGCCTTAAGTCCGTTCTACTTACAAAAATCAAAAGAAAAAATATTTACATGTACAAACTTTACAGGGGCACTGAAGTCATTTTTGAGATAGTCTTTTTATGGTGATAACTCAATCTACACACTTTAAAGGGGCCCTGAATCATATTTAAGCGTCTACCTTTTTTGCGGTTTCCACGTCTCTTGGGGTTCGGGCAAGACAGCGGGCACGGAGAGAGTAACTAAATAGCAGTGCGTAATATTTTAACCGGACGACGCGCAAACCTCCTCCACCGAGGAGGGCGACCCGCGGTACCGAAAGTGTGCAAAATGTGACGTCTTTGGTCCTGGGCTTATTACTGGTCAGAGCCGCTAAAAGCTTCTTTTTAGTCGAAATACAAAATATAAGTGGTGCGAGCCGTTTCAATATTTTTATAAAAGTAGTTTTTGTTCAGTATTTTAGATCAGAAAAGAAACGAATGCAGTTCATAAAGTATGGAAACAAGAAATAACCTGTTCACATACCCACCACCAAGCGGTGGAAAAGGCGGCGCATACTAGAAAGGAGTAGTGGGATCAGGCGTCGACACGGAAAGGTCCCGAATGAATGCGGTGGCACTGCGGTCGTATGGACAGGAGGATCCGACCGGCTGTGAGCGTTCCGAAGGCCTTCGGCGAGAAGCTTTGTCTTAAGGTTTGGCCGTTTCGCGGTATGGTAGCGCAAAGTGGCTCCCATTCTGAACTGATCTTTACCCCATGTTTCCTGTCGTTTGTTGCCAATAAAGTGTCATGCCGAATTAGTATTTAATCGCGCAGCGAATGCAATGAGAGCCACTCCAGCTGCCCGCTGCACACAGCCTATCCAGAACATGCTTTAGTGGCGCCCTCTCGCGCCGTCCACAAGGAGTGCGGCAGCCGTGAGCGCTCGATAAGCTCACTACCCCTCCTTTAGTTCACGACCACTCTCAAGCAACCAAGGACGTCATGAGGGAGGTTATTTTTTGCTTGTTTTTGTAATTTTAATTTGCCTATATAACTTTTAAAATAAAGGGAATTTCGAGAAAAGAAAAGTTGCACTAAGTTACTACGTTCAGTGTGCTCAGGTTCGGTGGAAATTAAAAACCACTAAAGAAGTCCTTGCAGGGCCCCTTTAAGGATTCTAAGACCCCAAAATTACAATCCTGCTTGGCCTATTTCCCACTAAAACGTTCTCAAAGATCACCGACATGCTTTTTCTCATGGGATATTTGTTCAGAGTGAAGTGGTTGACAAACGCGATTGTCGGCCAATTGCAAGCGATGGCTTCCCCTGCGGCCAGAAAATAGTTATCAGAATGTGTGCGTATGACTCTTTTCAAAACGAGTTATAATAAAATTGCTTAGGATCTATGCTTATTGTACGACTTTCCTTGGGCCAGAGAATGTGGACCGCAGTTTTGTATACTAGAACTTGATATATAAAGTAGCTAACACCTTGTAAACTATATAACAAAAACAAAAATTACCTTCTTTAAAAATGACTTCAGTGCACCTTTAAGGGGGCCCGGTAAATTTTACCAGCTTCTCTTTACGACTTTGCTGCAAAGTATGGCAAAAGAGTAATGAAATAAAAGTTGTCTAAGCTCTCTTTTATGTCCTCCCAAATATTCTTGTCAAACCTGATCCTCTGAATGGTTAGGAAGTTGTCCCCATAAAGAACATAGTCTGCCCACTTGAGGTTTGTTACCCCCCTCTGTCCTACCACTTGAGCAAAGTGGGGGTGCTCTGTCTTGAGATGCGGACGGTTAGAGCTGTCAAAAGCAACACTAATGTTACTTGCGAGCAGTGTGTCGCGATCTGCATTCCTCAAGGTGTAGAGGCACTTTACTTCTACACATCCCCATGGTGGTTGTTCCGTCGCGTCATACACAATTGCATCTGGAGTTGCTCCGAGCCATGGTTGATCAGGATCCACGAACAGCCCCGCACTCGACAGATGGACGTCTCGGCCCCTGCTCTTTAAAATGTCCTCGTAGCGTTGCAGTGCTTTAGGCTCGTTGACAATCCCATACCTAAAAAAAGTAGATACGCAATACAAAAAATTCAAATTAAGTAATATACAATGTTTATTTCATTCTTCAAACTAGATCAGCACGTAGTTAGAAGTTACCACTACAGAACCATTGGTTTTTCATCGTAAGGCATAAAATACTGTTAAATGAAAGACCTACGACAGCATGCTGTGGGCCTCTCTCTATCAGTATGAAAATAAGACTATTTCATGTCGGACAATTATGTGAGAGGAGCGGGTGGTTCAGGCTGTCGAGTGTCGCGATTGTGGCAGTTATTGGTAAAAAAAAATATGGTGAAGAAGGATAGCGGGTACAAAGGTATCTGTAGCAGCATGCCAACTTGTGGCAACAGAGGTTTCCCTCGACTGGCAGGCAGCAGAGCCTGCCAGGATACACCTGTTATAACCTGTTATAACATGACACTAGTGGTGTACAACCACCAGTGTTGCAATAGGGGAAAAGTACATTCAATTCTGACGTCACCAGGCAGAAATCGAGGGACCAGAATTAAAGACGTGGTTTCACAGAAAGCCGCTCAACGAGTTTCTTTTTTTATCAGCGTTTCTTTTACAAGCAGCGTCAAGGGTGCCAATGCACGAGACGTATATCTTGAACAGCCCTTGGAAAGAAGTAACGGCAATGCACTGCCAGAGCTATCAAAACGCCATGTTATTTCATTAAGGCATGCACCTCGCACATTCACAGAACAATGAATGACTGTACTTTTAAAACTGATAGAAAGCATGGATTTTATTGAGGGGCTTTAGGTACTCATACCGGTCGAAGATATGTTCCAGGCACCATTTCTCTGCCTCTCCCAGTAGGCTTTGTACAATCTACTGGCAGCTGAATTCGTCCCCCCAGAAAGCTCTCCCATAGCATTAGCAACAGTTTCTGGACCAAAGACACCTAGGGGAGGTCATGCAACATGCAAAACATTGTTTCTGCGAATTTGCTTAACTGATTTTGAAATGCTAAGCTCACCGGATGGCAGGAACCCTGGACAAATCCTTTGTTGAGGTCAGGTTTGCCAGTCCCTTCTCTGTCCACTCGCCGTGACGATGTACGGTGCCAAAGTTCGATGCAGTCAGGCGGTACTGCCTTGCCTGAAGCCAGGTAGCACTGTCGCGCTGCCTCCGCGAGTTCTTCTCAAGGTCCTGTGCTTCAAGTGGCGTCAGTGTTATTTTCTGAAACAAGCAGAATTACATTAACAAGTTTAGACAAGAACACAGTGATGTGAACACAAATCTTCTCTGAAACTCCTGGCTTCCTGTCTTTGTTAAAACATTTTTTTCCAAATTATTATAGACCAGAGGTGTGCAAAGCGGGGATTGCAGAGTAATGTCTTAGGGTCGCACGGCCCCAAAAAGGTTCTGGAAAATGTATGTGCACGAAACAAGCACAGAAATAACCATCCCTGAAGTAAAACCGAAGGTAAACGTAACGGGACCAGAGTGTGGCCCTTATTGTACTTCATCCCACTAGTTGCTTGCAGTGTAGATGAAGGCAGTGCGGGCCAAGGGGAGAAAGGGCAACCACTACGAAGGGAAGAGAAGATAAACCTCTTCTCCTCTCCAATGTTCTTAGTGCTCGCCCTTTCTCCCCTACTTGTGAGACAGAGTATGAGTATGTCAGGGGGCAGGGGCTTCCCAGCGGCATTGCTGTGCTTGAGGTGTCGCAGTCTGAATATGTCTTGGCATCTGTTGTGAGCTACCACCCACACTAAAAAATGTTATTTACATTATCTTAAACTATAGAGACCCTAAAATGCAATAGTCTATAAGCTTCCATTGCAAGGCAAAAGACCCCATTATCTTTTACAGGAGAAAAAGCATCTGCCTCAAGCACTGTCGTAATAGCTTAAATAATATTTGATTCTAGGGTGATAGTCTAACAGACGGTCTGCGGTTTCTCTGTCCTCCCAATGCACACATAGCAGGTGCACTCGAAAACACTGCGCAGTCTGGAAGAAAAAGTTCACTGCACCCTGTGTTCGGCGTTTGGAAGTGCACCTGCTATGTCGGCGATGGGAGGACGGAAAAACCACGGACTTGTTATAGCTAAGTGTGATTAAGAGTGTACAGTGCTCTTGGTTTATAAACATTGTGCACTGAAATGGAGTATGGTTGGTCGTTTGAGACACCATGCAGCGGTAGTAAAGTTTATAAGTTGAAATTACGCTCCCAGTATGTTAGGAAAAAGTGAAAACAAAGCTAACCTCTAACAGAAGCCTTGCCTTCGTGCTGACACCATCCGGAACAGTCCACTCGTCGCTTTCAAGAAAAGGCACTATTTCTTCTAGTGGCCGCCCGATGTTCAGATGGCCAGGTGCCTCCAGCTCCTCGCACAACAAGATGCAAAATCCAAATGGGACAAGTGGCTGCTGGTAGGCGAGTGGAGAGCAAGCAAGCACATCGCCGCACTTGGAGCTGCACACTTGTGCTCGATCTGCAGCTCCCAACACTGCTACCAAGGAGGTCATCCCGTCTAGCTGCTGCAAACTGCTTGCGAATTGGAGCGCGGCGCTTTTCTTTTGACTGATAGTACGCTCCTTAGCCTTGCTGAGGTCCAGCCGACATGAGCGCGGCAAGTCTTGTCGTCCTTTGCCCACCCTCCGCCAGTCAACACCCTGCACACTTGAACCCTTGATGACCTGGCCCCTCGGTCTTCTCCAACGCTGTGGCAGATCTGTGCATGACAGATGTGCTGGGGCCTCGGTGAATCTCTTGCCTTGGATCAAAATAACCGTCTTCAGGACGGCCTGGAGGTGGCTGCAGGCTTGCTTCCCAGCTGGGCACTCGCAATATCCGTTAACAAGTTCACCGTCCTTGGTGATGGTGGCGCTCACGGTGTAGGGTGGCTGAGTTTTCTTGTGGCTCCTGAAGCATCTGGCTCTCAAGAAGAATCTGGAGGCCCTTTAAATGACAATGATAAGCGATAAGCACCTGTTCCCAATCATTAAGGTCCTGACCATTTCATGCGAGGCACACCGCGCCATCTCATGCAGGGCACGGCAAAATGTGAAATATATTATCAGTGCTAGGTATTTCTGAGAGAACGTGCCAGTTTGAGAGCTGCAGCCTGCTACATGGCTGCGCGTGCGAATCGCTACACAGCTCCCGATTTGGGCGAGCCTGTTCTGCGGCGCAAGCCAAGTGACGGTCTGGCGTCGATCGAATCGAGGCGCTTAGCTTCGTTTTCACAGGGACACACAGCTCAGCTTGCACCGCCCGACTAGCGCTGGCTTGCAAACACGTCGTAAAACGGGGCGCGCACGTGAGCGATATGGCGAGCGACGGGTTATGCCATCGCTCGTCGCGTTGCTCGTTTCTGGATTGCCCGAAAAACCTCTCCCACCGCCCGGAAGTCGCTTGCATGCAGTTTGCCTCGGCGAGGCACAGACCGAGCGAAAGTTAGTCCTCGAAGAGTCGCCAGTGCAAGACAACCGTCACATGTGTTCACCCGACAACGCTATAATGTTGATTTCAAGGCTCGCGCTTCCCCCCAAAAAACACTTATAACCACTCACATTTCTTCGTCGTAGTTGGCGCATACCGTCGACGCAACGACGTAGCTCTCCGTATATAACTTGTAGCTCCGGCGAGCTCCCTTCTCGGTTCCCGAGCAGGACGCCAGGCGGGCAAGGTCCGGAGACGAGATTCGCGGCAGCCGAGCCAAGTTGCTCGTCCATCCCGTCGTGGGGTAGACGCCGTCGCTCATGACGGGGCCAACGGGCCACGCTGGGGGCACGCACGTATGCCGCAAAAGCACGGAATGCTCACGTTGGCGGTTACCTCACGGTACGGAAAGAGGCGCCGAGAACGCTGACCTAAACATGGCGATTTCTGTCCCATGATGCAGTGCAAATCGAAACTGATGAAAAGTTCGCCGTCAGGGTGCGCAATTGTGCATGGGGTCTATTGGGCAGATATGGCCAGATATGCAGTCAGGCCATATCTGGACTGATTAGGCCATATCTGCCCAGTTCCTTATATACCCATATCTGCCCAATTCCGTATATACCCATACCTGCCCAATTCCTTATATACCCATATCTGCCCAATTCCTTATATGCAATATATGGACTGCATTACGATCCCGTGTTTGGGCCTGGCAAACAGGGTATCCGCCCCATATATAGCAATTTTCATGCGATGCTCCTTCTAGAATCACATGAAAATTATATTCATTGGGCAGGTACCCTATTTTCCATTTCCAGACATGGGATCATATAATGCATTTCTATGAATATCCAGGTAATATACATTTTACTGCTATCCCACACTGCCAAACGTGTGTCTACGTATAGATATATCTATAGAATAGGCCACTGACCAATCCTTATTGGTCTGGTTCGGAATCTGTCATTCCGACAAATACGTATGCTACAAATATCGAATGCAGGCAATCGCTAACTCGGAAACATTGTAACATACCATTCGACGACGGAAAGTAAGCAGCCCTTTGGCGGGATTGGTTGTCGAGGGAGCAGACCGAGAATATGGTTTGCAAAAAAAGTTTTCTTTATAAAAGCACCAAAACTCTAAACAAGTACCTCCCCCATTCAAGAAAAATTATAACAAACAAAACTGTAATATAGCACGGACAAACATTAAAATAGACTAAAAATGTAATAGCACAAAGACACTTATTAAAATAAAACAAACGGAAGGCAACAATTAAGCTGTAAACTATACGAAAGTTTCAAAGTCGATTCCCACTAACAGAGTCACAGTCCTGATTCAACTCTCCAGTCGAGCAGAGCAGTTTTGACAAGGGCTTGCTTGCTAGCCTCGTCGTTGCAGTCCTTCCTTGCACCATCTGATGTTCAAAGCCCCCAGTCGCTCCTCGCGGGCCTTGTTTTTCCGTTTGGTCGCCAAATCTCCCCTTGTGATTGACACGTCACACATGCACACAGACACCGTTGTTCGCCGCGTAAGCAATACAAGATGAAAAGGTCATTACTGCTCCTAGAACACGACGAGGTCACCACTGTTTCCCGGACTAGGAAATGACGAGAGCCTCATATCTTTAACTAAAACCTCATAAAATAAAAAAATAAAATAATGAACACATAACAAACAAAAACAAAAGGACTAAATTATGAGAAAAAATGAAATAATGAACACAGAAGTAAAAAGAATAAAAACACGAAGGACTTATACAGACAGCCATATTTGTTCAGTTAACAATGACGTTTAATTCTGATAAAAAAATATTTCTACTGCGCTAAAGATCACCATTATGGTGTGTAAACTAGGCCACCTTGAGCAAAGCAGGAATATTTGTGATGATAATCAAATGTCATTGCGAACTCAAAAAGTGTGGCTGCCGGCGTAAGTTCTTCGTATTACTATTCTTCTGAATTCCGTGTTCATTATTGTGGCTGTTTGGGCCCAGGCGGAACTTGGTTGTGCTTTTTCCATTCTGACCTTACTTCGGACAGCTTCGTAGCCATAGGAAAACCCAATAGCTTCTCTACATAATCCCACTCCTAAAAGAAAAAAAATTGTGTGTATGTTTATACAGTCGGAAGTTAGCTTGCCTCAGTAAGAATCTGCTGTCTCAGCTGTAGAGCAATTTAGCCAGCGCGGTACAACTGCTAGCCTGGGGTCTTTAACGCGCACCACGCAGTAGTGATACACAACCGCACGCCGGTACGATGCTCATCCAGATCGAAACGGGCAGGGGCGGCGATCCACTCCTTCCTTCTCCTTGCTTTCTTTGAGGCTCTGACAAATAAAAATCAAAGGTTTGGTCAATTATGTTAACGCAATATACTTCAAACACGCAGCATGAGTGCTGTCAAGATATTTGCTGCCTTCAATCTAGATAAGCTTGTAAATTTACATGCTAAATAACAAGTAACTTAAAAGGTGAAATATATTTCGATGGATCTACAAAAACCGAAGACTTGCTCTGCAAATATAGTGCTATCTAGTACACCATAATTGAGAAATATCGGATTACAGCGTCCCCCTTACAAAGACTGGAGCAAAACAAGTATAGACTCTGCCGTGCCACTGCAACAAAAACGATGGTATTGTGATCTCGTGGAGATCAGAGTTCGGAAAAATTGTGACAGGCTTTGGCACGACAAATATGCCCATGTCATTATTCATTTTTGCATAATCTACGGTGACAGTGCAGGGAGACAATCACACACCAGATACTCAGAAAGACAAGCACACGCGCTGAACGTATAGCTCTTTTGTATTCGACTACTTCATTCTTCTCTTCAACGTCTAGGTGGACATTCCAGATCGTGATAAGCAGAATAAATAGCACGAAATACAAGAAAAATATCGAAAGACAAGAGAAGAAAAAAGGAAAAGACAAAAGAAAAAAGTAAAGAACGAAAAAGAAAACTCTTACAATTCATCCCTCTCCCTCACCCCTATCGTTTAGATAGAAACTGGAACTTATTGTTCGACAGCGCTTAGAAGGACTACTTGCACACTTGTCCTTCAGATGCTTTATTCTGTGCGCTTTCATTATTTCTCTTGTCAGTGGGTCTCAAATCCCATCTATTACGGAACAATTTTCAAAATGTGCTGCGCAACCACAATCCTGACAGTAGTTTCCCAAATGTCCAGCGCAACACTGTAAAAACGATTTCCTCTGCAGCTCAGGTAACAGACGGATGTGCAGACAGATTATTCGCCCATACTACGAATAATAAAGGCCTAAAATAATTATCTTGTATGCTTTTTAATGGTCTCTGCTAATTATTCACGTTTTTCCTAAGGATGACATACACGAGCAGTGTAAACAGTGCATAGGTAGGTGACAATCCATCACAGATTTTAGACACAGATTGAGCTGTTTTTATGAATTAGCCATCCATCTGTTACCTTAACTGACACGAAAATTATGTGTTTTTTTTTGTTTTTTTTTAATCTGCTCTTGGTAACAGGTGAACGCCCATTCACACTCTTGTGACCGAGTACGACTGAGAGAGACGAGATCTCTTAGAACTTCTTAAATGCTTTTAGAATGACGGAACACTCTGGCATTTTGGCGCCATCTATGCGGTGACCCAGGAACTGCATTTCACGAGAGCGAAGGTTTTCCGGAATTTCCGAGGTCAAATGTGCGTAATACCCATAAAAAGTCTCGTTTATAACATTGACAAAAGTTTTTTGAGCCAAGAAAGAAAGGATAATGCGCGAGAAATAAAAAACTTATGCCGGACCGCCGAGTTTACACTGCTTCCCAATAGATGGTGCCAGAGTGTTCTCCGGTTTAAGAAGTTTCAAGGAACTGCAACCCAGGTTTAAGAGGTCGC